CGCCGACCCATGATAGCAAGGAGAGGTTCAGGGCGATATGCGATGAGCGGATTTCGCTCCCCTTGTCCACGCTGGCGGGGTTCCTCAAGGTCCACAACAAGTTGGTCGGTGACGCTGCAATGTGGACCAGCACCACTGAGTGGAAGGCATCCGGCGGGCCGAAGAAGTTCCCACCCATCCTGACCTCTAACGTCTTAGCGGTGGTTCCTTTGGGGGTCTCGACCCCCCACTGAAATTTTCAGAACGGAGCGGACCTCTCCAAACCAATTGGGCACAACAACTACCCCTATTTCATTCGGGGCACGTTCATGGAGCAGATTTGCATGGGCATGGTGGAGGGTCCGTCGGGGCCAATGGCATCATCCAAAACCAGATGAAGGAGAGGACAACGGCACTTACAGTCCTGGATAAGACCAGGCACTGAGCCAGATGCTGATAGCAGCCAACTAACACCCAGCAAATGCTCCAGGCCATTGTGGAAGGCCATTCCCTCTCAGTCAAGGAAATTGAGAAGGCCCTGAACCGTACGCAGGGAAGATGGCGACCACTTCCTGAGGGCCTGCGCAAGCTCTTCAACACCGCCCTACCTCCCTTGGTGGGTGTGTTTTTGTCACAACCAGTGGCTCCTCCTTCACTACGTACATAGTTTGGAGCCCGCATTGAGCTCATGAGTTTGGACATTTCCTTTGGTCTGAGCCACCCTCGTCTTGGCCTTAAGCTGGTAGCGGATGCTTTAGAGGTCCCGGGTTACGCGAATGTGCTACGGGACGGACGGCTGAAGCCAGGGGAGCTGGAGGCGTGCGCTTGTGTCGGTGCGGCGGCCGCGTGGCAGGTTGAAGGCCACCGCTAAAACTGGGAGCAATTTTCCGCGTGTTGCTCCTCTTTGCTGCAGGTTTTCTATCGGTTGACTCCGAATTTTAAACCTGAAAAGAACCAGCTGTTTTCCCCTGGATTTCCGGAGGTTTTAGGTCTCTCGTTTGCGTGTGGAAGGTACTCCATTCCTGGAAAAATCCGATCCTGCAGGTCCGCTTTGGGGAATGTGAAACGCCAAACATCCTTGTCATGCAGAACACTTCCCGTCAAGCAATCTCATTTTGTTGGCACAAGGAAGCAGATCATGCTAGGAAAAGTACCGTGGGGTGACCGAGACGCGCTGGAAACTCCTTGTGTGGCTTGACTGGATAGAGCCCTTCCAGCCCAAGCCCTTGACCAAGTCCGAGCTCTACTGGAAAGGCAAGCTGGAGACGCTTGGCTCTGGATTTGGAGCGACGCCAACCTGGGCTCCAAGAAGCCCTTCACTGCGCATGGGGCTTGTCCTTCTTCTCCATAGACATGGCTGCGCTCTGGCGGCCAACCATGTCCCCCGTAAGTTCAACGAGCGGGCCGACGAGTTGACTTCGTCGGTTACAGCGAGGAGTTTCAGGTAGCTACGTCTGACCTCTGCTCCAATTTGCTCTTCCTTCCCCGCATCCTGAACGGGAGAATGTTGATCTTACCCTCTGATTTGTCGCCCACCCAAGCTCCCGTGACCGGAGCCTGGGCGGTGTCCGTCTCCTTCCGTTTCCTTTGCTCCCGTGCCGGCGGGCGCTAATCAGCCTGGCACACCCACTCTAGGGAAGCTTATCTGGATGGGATGTGACACCCACTCCAGACCGGTTTTCCAACCTGACAGGGGGGGAGCCCCCGGCACCCCTACATGCTTGGGCACAAAAAGGTTGTGTCCGCTTTGTGTTTAGGCATTTTTGGTTAGCTTGCTTACACACACATACATGCATGCACACATACATACATACATACATACATACATACATACATACATACATAGGTCCTTGGTTCCATTTACTGGGGTCTCAATTTGGGTGCCGACCCACAGCCATGTGATGAATATGCCAACATTGCTTGGATCTCGTGATGGCAAAGGGACCTTTTGAAGGGTGCTCCAAATGTCAAAGAGACTTGGCCTCAGCAATTGAGCAGTTTCAATTTCGTGAATCTAGAATGAGCGCCCCTTGTGAGAGGAAGCTGCCAGGTACGGGAATTTACGAAACGCGCGGCTTGTCAAACGCTAAAACACACTACATGGAGTTGCGGACGCAAAAAGAGTGCCCCTTCGATGGTTAGATTAGCTCGTGAACAGAAATAGGCCTTTCCCCCCCCTTTCCCGGGGCAGTATTCTTGGCAAACAATTCTTGTCTTTCAGGCTTTCCCCCATCCAAGATCAACCAGATGAGTGGAGATGCGCCTCTCCCAATCATTTAATATTTTTCCTTGCGCTCATCCCGTTTATAGCTGTAGGACGAGGGGAAAGAGATCAAGGATGTTTGATGGGTGGAAGCAATTGACAGCAAGGTTAGGCATGTAAGTTTTTCTCTTCATCCCTTTCTATTGGCCTTCTTCCCTTCCCTTGACTCCTCCATGCCATCAATCTGATGAAAGGATCAGGAAGGAGATGGGAACTGTTGTCTTGGTTCCTATCCTTGCCCCGACTCGCCAATGTCATCTTCCCTTCTTGTCCATGCAAAGTAAATCAAATGGGCTTTAATTGTCGCGCATACTGACAATATCGGTTTACTGCCATTGTTATTCTAGAGCTTGTAGATTCATGGATCAAAGATATTATTGGTAGTTTTTTACTTGAATTGGATGCCTTCCTATATCTCACATCTCTTCTTCTCATGCAACCTCCAAGATTGGAGATGGTATTCAAAACGTCCTCAGGGCCCACGTGTCTATCTTATCTTGTGTGACGCGTGTTTCGTCTAGAGATGTTGCCTTACAAATGAGAAAGAGGAAGCCAACAAAAGGGAGACTTCCAAGTACGAGGATGAGCTTGTGGAAGTCTGCCTATCATGCCTTGTGTACCAGAATCACAATCCTCGTGCATATTGATTCCGAGGGTTGATGACTGCGATGAAATCCTTGGCAGAGCAACATTCTATTGAATGATAGTTATGTAACTTACTTGAGATAAGAAGTAAACAAACACAGCGAGAGAGAGAGAGAGAGAGAGAGACGTTCATCGTGATAAAGTACAGTGATGAGTATTTTGAATATATTATGTCACATGAATATGATATCATTGAACTAAACATTGTTGGATTCATTTGTGTTTTGTTGTTGTCTTCTTAGAAGTCAGTCATCAAGAAGTATGTTATGATTACCGTATTTGTGTTGTGTCGCTGTGCTTGTTTCTACACATTGCATTGTTTTTCATAGATGTCTCCTCTGTCAATTTCAATCTCGCCACAACAATTGATTTCCTTCCGATATAGACTGTAGGATGGAAACCAATCTGTGCGGCCATCCAAGTACACTAGAACAGATGGTGGAGGCACAGCCCACAGTTTCTTTCGACGCAAACTTGCAAGTGACCTAAACAAGACAGCCGGGGCAAGACACAGACAGAGACATACACGGCAAGAGAGCAGAGCGCATCCATGCGTCAAAGCCCAACCGTACTGAACCAACCCCGAGCCTTCCCTGTATAAACCTTAAGCCAACCTGAAGCAACCGTAAACCCACCCTAAAGTGAAAACGATGTTGACAGTGCTGGTGTTGAGGAAAGTCGCATTGTGTTGGCAAATGCTGTGCAACACGTCATTTTAGCACCTGCCGAACCTAGGGAACAAAAACCGACCCGTCTAACCTAGGAAAAAAACAGCTTGCCTTCCTCCTGCCCCCCAGCATGTGAGAGTTATCTTTTTGATCGTGACATGATTTCTTTGATCCTCGACCCAGTCAGGCTGTTTGAGAAATCAGAATTTGAGGCTCAGGCGCGCGCAGGTGAATGGCAAGTCACCTTCTCGTGGTGCCGAATAATAACGTCAGGTCGATTTTTGGCGTCAGGCCCTCATGGGCGCGAGCTCTTCGCGAATTCAGGTCTGTTTTTGAACATAAATCGTGGGAGCACTGCTTTCCTACTGTTTCCTAGCTTCCAAGCGTGGAGTTTGCATCCAGCCCTCAAAAAGAGTTTGTACCCGTAAGTGGGTTGTTTCGAGAGAATGCCGGCATTTTTCCCTTGATGTTATGTGCCTCAGGACGCACGCTATAGGGTGTCTGGTGGTTCGAAACTTTGCCTTGTCGGCACATTGAAAGTGAGTTTGCTGTTGGTAGTGTGCTGAACAAAACGGGACAGAGTGAGTTTTCTTCGCCCGATTGGTTGCCGCCAAGGCGTTTGCCTGAGGGCAGGTCAAACTCCAAGCGCGAAGCCCTATCATGGCTACAAAGGGCTCAATTGGCATGTCCCTCCTTTGATCACGTCCTTTTTTGAGTACACAGCCCCCGTTGCCAGTGATGTGGGCCCTGGGACTCGGCACAATGTTTGTCCCGAGTCCCAGGGTTCGCGTTCACCCCGCACAGGTGAAGAGACGGCCGTGCCGGATCGGGTAGGCCCGAATGAGCGAAGCCACAGTGACTCGGTGACTTCTTTTGTTCTTTCTGGGTCAGTGACTGGGTCGAAAGTTCGTGGAATCCACCAATTGGTCCAGAATGCTTAGGGCGTCCGAGGCAGACTCCTCGAAAGGATCCAACTGACGGATCAAAGAATTTCTCTCAAACAGCCATTTTCCTGGACAGGGAGTTTGAAAGAGATTCCCACTGCAAAGCGTGTGCATTCTCGCAGAAGTTGCTCAATTGGCCTTGGACATGGGCGAGCTGGTTTAGTGGCCGGTCCCTGGCTTTCAGTTGGATGGTATGTGGGGGTTGATCAAAAGGTGTGATGACCATGGGATGACCCTTGGGGGAAGCCACGAAAGAAGTAATATATTCCACTACAAGGGAAATGTTGCCCATGGTCATTTGGGGGCCTGGAATTTTGATCAACCCCGATGTGTGTGGAAACAGGAAACAGACCAACCTTCGCGCGACTAAGTGCGTCATAGTGCGCCAAAATGGCCCTCCAAAGAAGCGGTTGCAGATTGCCTTCTTGGAAGTTTGTTGGTTTTCCCTATTGGTCATCCCATGTGGACTCCTTGATCAATCCCCACGCTGGATCGGGTGCGAGACTTTTCGGCTCAATCGTGGAGACACTGACCTGGCTCCCAATACTTCCCCATGGCCATGTTCTGCTGCGAACAGCAAGGCAAAGAAGTTGGCGAAGCGATCATCAATGCCGATCCGCCTTTGCAGGACGGGGTCCTATCCCCCTCCCTTCATTTGCTTAAGAATATGTGTTTTGTTTATTATTATTATTATTCTTATTTTCCCTTGCTGGTTTTAAAAGGGTTTCATGACTACTGGACATATTTGTTCCTGGGGCCTTAACCAAATGGAAGCCTCCATTTTGCTTTGCGTTGAAGGTTTTGGGGGCGTACCGGAGTCCGCTTGGTGATGGGAAGAGGAAGCCATTGCCGCCTGGACTTCAAAAAATTGACAAGTGGCAAAATTGGTGCAGAGATTTGGCAGGGTGGTTTACAAGGAGTGTGCCTGAGAGATGTTTCCTTTTTGTTGTCCATAACATTGCATGGGTTTTTTTTAATGTTGAGATGAGGGCCCGTGCAATTGGGCTCTCCCTGGACAAAGCTGTGCCTTGATTTGTTTTCTAGCAGCTTCTTGTGTGAGCAAGTTGGAGTTGGCGATTCTTGAAATTCGCGACCTTTTTCAGGTGGTTGCTATCTTTCTTGAAGCCTTTTTTTTTTTAAAGGAGTTTCACTTTTGCGACATCGGTTTTCACAAATGGGAGCCCTCCTGTCGTTGTTCCCTTTGCTTGCCACCATTTTTTCGGAACATCTCGAAACATCTCATTTTTGGAAGCAGCTCATGTTAGCAAAGAGCTCGATTCCGGAAACATCTTATTTTGCAAACAGCTCATTTTCGGAAACAACTCCTTTTAAGAATGTAAAAGCCAGCTTGACTGAGGGATGATGGCATGGAGTGTTCAGCACGCATGAGACATAGCCCGCTGTACCGGCTGCCATTCAGGCCTAAGCCATACGCTACGCTTTTCAGGCAAAAGGATGGCCTAGCGATTTGCCCTGTGCTGCGCACCGGGATTTCACAGTAGCACCGGAGCCTGTATCCTTCTGAGGCTCGCTCGCTGCGCTGCTTCGCCCCGCTGCACGCCCTGATCTTCGCTGGCACGCGCCGCTTGATCTTCATTCACTTTGCACGCCTCTTCCTGCACCTTCGTGGGAGCTCGCTGGCCAGGAGGCCGGGAGCATCTTCGTGGGCTCAGGGAGTACCCGCATCAGCTGAGGGAGCACTTCGACCAGGCGGTCGCGTGCATCTTCGGTAAGTGCGGCTGACCCTTTTCACCGCCCTGGAGCTGAACCTCAGCTTCGCCCTCTTTACCGTTTTTACCTTGTGCTGGCCGTCTAAGACGGCCACTTCACCTTTTTGCAGGACTACCCCAACAAGCCGAGAAGCCGGCGGCACTTTGCTGCCCTCATGGCGGAGGATGACAAGACTACGAGCGCCTGGTACAAGGTGCCAACGTGGGACGGCAATCCTGCCGACTGGCGGACCTTCCGCCGAGAGATGAGTTGGTGGATGGCTTCATTAGATCCAGAAGCTTGCAAGAAGTACAATGTCGCGGCTCGCTGGGCTTTGAGACAATCCGGAGTTGTTCGTGCCGTGCTGGCTGTGAGGAGTACGAGCCCTCTGAGCTGCAAGGCATTGAGGAGGTGACGACGAAGAACGAGGACGGAGCTACCGTGGTAGTGACGGCCGCGGACCCCTTCGCTGGTTTGGTCAAGCTGCTCAAGGCGTTGGAAGAGATGATCGGCAAGTCGGAGCTGGACCGCAAAGGAGAGTTGAGGGCCCGGTTCTATGTGGAGATTCGCCGACAGGCATGTGAACGCATCAGCACCTTCTGCACAAGGTTCCGGACCCTAGCAGCCGACTTGAAGCGTGAGGGCGTGATATTGCCCAAGGAAGAGCTTGGGTGGTTTCTGAAAGAGCGCCTCGGGCTTGATCCCCTCAGGCGCCAACTTCTGGAGACGGCGCTTGCTGTCCGTGAAGGTTATGATGAAATCGAGGCCGAGGTTTTGCGGCTGTTTCGTGATCTGCGTACTGCGGACCCCCTCTTCAACAAGCAATGACAAGGGCATCCTCATGAATCGCTTCTTGTCGCAGCATCATCACCATGGCCCACATTTGCATCGGACCTCGGCACCTTCATCCGGAAGTTCATTTAGCCAGAGCACCCGACCATCGCGCAGCTTCCCTTCATCAGGCTCTTCTGGAAAAGGATCCTTCAGGAGACCTTCTTCGGCATTTGGTGCACATAAGCAAGCCATGGTGGCGGAGGCAGATGATGAACCTGCTCAAGAACCGGAGGAGGATGAATTGGTTCCAGATGAGGAGCCAGACTATTCGCTGGAGGACATCTTGCAGTCGGAGGCGGAAGTGCTTGCAGCTGAGTTGCAGGAGCTCGAGAGCGAGGGGATTGATCCGAACCTCGTCAACGAGCTGGAGACTGGTGTTGAAGCTGCTGAGAGCCTGGTCACAATGAGGGAGGCCAGGCAACGCATCGCTATGGGAAAGCTGGCAATCCAGGCAAGGGTGCTGGAAAGACAAATCGCAAAGCTGTGACCAACTGCTTTGATTGCGGAGAACCTGGACATTGGCAAGGTGATCCGCAGTGCAAGAAACCGGCAAGGACTTGGACGTACGCCGATGGCAAAGAAGGCGGCGAAACAGGTTAGACTCACCGAGGCTCTCACCACTGAGGTGTACCCGGAGGAGGACAAGCAGGGTGGCAATGAAGTTATGGTGACTCATCACCTTGCGTCGCCTCTGCCCCAGATTCTGGTCAAGCCCAACGAGGCCCTTGTGACTGCGCCCCTCGCCCAGGACAAAATGCTGATGGGTGCGTTGGACAGCGCTTGCAACCGAACTTGTTCTGGAGATGTTTGGGTAGGGCGCTACATGACGCATTTGGAAGTTGCCCCCGACTGGGTTCGCCACCTCATCTTGTTCGAGTCTGAGGATGAGTTGTTCAGGTTTGGCAATGGCGGTTCGCAGAAAAGTTCGCAACGTGTCAGGGTGCCCATCATGGTTGGCAACTCCCTGGTTCTGGTTTGGATTTCAGTTGCGAAGGTGCCCAGCCTTGGACTTCTTCTTGGTCGAGACTTCTTGGATGCCATTGGGGCGGTTTTGAGCTTTTCCAGAAAGATGCTCAGAGCGGACAAGTTGGATGGTTACTTGATCCCGCTCAAACAGCTCATGGCAGGTCACTTCGCGCTGCCGCTGCTCTGCTGAAGCTCGCTGCGCTACTGCACATCGATGTGCCGGAGAAAGCCACCGTCGAGCAGATCAAGCAGATGTGTCGACCGGTGGTCGGAGCCTTCATGTTGAAGCCAGGAAAGAGCTCTACGGCGAGTTCCTCAACAGAAGTCAAGCCAGCGCAACAGCAGCCAGAGCGCACGGAGATGACTCCCAAGGGCGCGCCCAAGGACGACGAGGTCGGTTCATGGAGTTCTTCCTCAGCAACTCACGGCATCATTGTCCAGGACGTCCACGCGCTACTGGCACAGCAGGACATCAAGTACCAAGGGATGCTTTCTCAAGTGATGCAGCACGTGATGGCCCTCTCCAACACGCAACAGGACTCCAGCCAACAGGGAGACTCGCAGATGGGTTTGCTGGAGGAGGAGTTGAGCCGCGGGATGAATCAACCCTTGGAAGCTGCATCGGGAACTTAAACCCGGCCAGGCACTTTTGGTGACTCAGGCCTGGCAGAAACATGAACGTGATCGCAAGCTGGTCTCCAAGAATGGCAGCGAGATCAATGTCATGCATGAGCAGTGGTTGGAGGAATTCAATGGTCCCTGGAGCCCGTTGATGAGGCTTAACCCAGCACGTGACCTCATCAAGAAGCGTGAAGAAGGTTTGAAGTTGATCCGCTTTGCCATCCAGCTTGCCCAGGACCAGATCCGTGGAGGGAGACACTACTTCATGGAGAACCCCCTCACGAGTGAAGCCTGGAAGCTTCCGGAGATGATCAAGTTCCTGGAGGAGAAGGAAGCTGAGTTGGCGGCCTTTCACCAATGTCGGTTTGGCCTTCGAAGTGCTTCGGGAGAACTCCATCAGAAGGCAACCAAGATCGCAACCAGCAGCTCTGAACTTCATTGACGCCTTCATGGTCTCAAGTGCCTACTTAACCACACGCACGCCCACGTAATTGGTGGTTCCCGAATTACGAGCGCTGCGGGACTCTACCCAAGAGCTTTGGCCAGAACCTTGGTGCAGGGCATGGAAGCTCAATTCGAAAGAGACCATCCACAAGCGCGCGAAGTGCTCGCTGCAGAAGGTCAAGATGAACGTGAGCACGGAGAAGATGATGAAGCACCTGCCCTTCTTCCACTTGGGAGTGAGTCGGAGGAGGAGGAGATGCAAGTTCCTGACTTGCAGGTGCCAGCAGCTGTCAAGGAAGCTGTGCGGAAGCTCCATGAGAACACGGGCCATCGTTCGAACAGACGTCTCGCCCGAGCTCCTGCCCAAGCTATTGTCGCTGCTAAGCGTTTGAAATGCGCTATCTGTGATGAAAAGAGACAGCGGAAGACAAGGAGGCCTGCCACCTTGCCTGTGCCCAAAAACGTTTCTGACCAGGTCCACGTGGACATCTTCGAAGAGGTTGACGCTCTCGGCCGCAACTTCTACGTCATCCACGCGGTGGACTTCACTTCGAGGTTTCAGATGGCAGAGGTGGTGAGGCAGAAGTCTTCAGACGAGATCGTGACCTGGTTTACAACAAGATGGTTGCCCGTGTTTGGACCTCCTCGTGTACTCGTTGCTGACCAGGGGCGAGAATTCATCTCCTGCGCCTTCGAGGAGATGTGCGCTAGGCACTCTATCTTGCTTTGGCACACGGCGGTGCAAGCCCCCTGGCAAAATGGAGTTTGTGAACGAGCTGGGGGCATTCTAAAAGGCCTGGTTCACACTCTGGTCAAAGCACACTCCGTGACGGGCCAACAAGATTTGAACGTTGCTCTGCAGGAAGCACTGCCTACAACGGGGACATCAACGAGATGGGCGTCACGCCTGCACAAGCTGCTCTTGGACGGCAACCACGTATGGTGGGTGATGTTCTTGGCGATGTTGGACAGCGACTCGCAGAGCATGGGCTGATCGATGATGGTCACAGGCCCAACTTGATGAGGCAGATGGCACTCCGGGAGACTGCGGAGGTAGCTATGACGAGGTTGCATTTTAGCCGAAGTCTTTCCCGAGCAGAAGTTGCGAGATCACGATCTACTACCACCACACATCAGCAACAGCTTGAACCTGGGATGATCGTTTACTTCTTCAGGAACTCCAAGTACAACAACAAGACCTCGCCTTCCAAGAAGAGACTCAGCCTTCGTCGATGGCACGGACCGGCTCTGCCAAGGAGGGCCACGCCAACGTCTTCGTGAGCTTCAAAGGACAGCTCACCAAATGTGCTGTTGAACATGTACGGCCTGCCAGCACAATCGAACAGGTTTCCGCAGATACCTGGAGAGATGCCATAGAAGATGTGGTTGAAGCAGCCATTCGAGACATGACTGCTCGTGGCACACCTCAAGGAGATGAAGGGCAACCACATGGTGCACAACCTCACGAACTACCAGCACCTTCTGGAGAAGCAACCGGGGAGGCTACGCCAAGTACTTTACCCTTGAACGAGCCGGGGCAAGCTTCACGACCTAGTGATCTACCTCCTGTACAACCACGTGAGTTTGCTTCTGCCGTCTTCCGGGGGTCCTCAACTTTTAGCACTCCGAGGACTTCGCGTTTGAGCACCCCAATGGTGTCTTCCAGAAGGGCCAGTACGGTGGCTCCACCACACGGTGAATCGACCGCTGCACCTGGCACACCTGTGCCAGATGTGATCCGGACAGCCAGCCAGATTGGAGGTGGACTTCTTGAAAGCGCTCACAGAGGCCCCAGCTTCTGAAGCCCTTCCAGAACCTGGTGGATCCGCTGAGCCAATGGTGTTTGATGTGTCGGAGGCGGTGCATCTTCCATCTCCTGATCATCCTCTACGGCAACTTCATGATCAAGCTCTACGTGATCGGCTTTCGCGGAGATTGGCCACTTCCTTCGAGATCCTACTGGCAAGCCATGGAACGAGCTGGGTGTGAATGGCCTCGTGGAGATCATGAAGTACAAGCAGTTCAGACAGCGCGCAAGGAGTACAAGTGGAGAGGCCTTGATGCTGAACAGAAGCGCGCGTGTGGCTGCAAGAGATGGATGGCAAGTCTGGGAGGACAACGATGCTGTGGAAGTGTTGCTCCTGACCCCTCGATTTGTCTTCACGGACAAGCATGATGGATTGCAGACGCAATCATGACCAAGGCCCTTGCCGTTGAAAGCCAATGCACGACTGGTGGTTCCGGGATTCCGGGATCCCACACCTATGCAGTTCGGAAAGACGCTCCCACGGCCTCCAGAATTTCACAACATTTGCTGCTGGCCTTCATCGCCTCCTTTGGATGGGAATTGTGGTCGGCAGATGTGAAGAGCGCCTTCCTCACAAGGGTGGGTTGTTTGGTCCTCATGAGCGAGAGTTGCACATTGGGTGGATCAGGACCGTCATGGGAGATGAGCCACAGCTACCTCTTGGACAAGGTGGTCTAGCAAGACTGAAGAAGGGCATCTTTGGCCTTTCAGATTCACCAAGGCGATGGTACCTTCGCCGCAGCTGTGGCGCAGGTAGCCCGCGCGGTCGATGTCGATGTTGCGCACCGTGTCGTCGTAGGTCCCCGCAAGGACCGAGAGGAAGTGGAAGTGCTCCGAGGCTCCCTTCATAGGGTTGTGCGGGTACTGCAGCTATGTGGTGGCTGTGGAACCCCAACCGCACTGTGTTGTTGGGCTTGATCATTTCTCATGTTGACGACCTGCTCATGGGTGGCAACGAAGAGGCGAAGAAGTCGCTGGACAAGCTTGGGGAAGAGCTGACGTTCGGTTCCATTGCGACCGGCAAGTTCACCTACTACGACAAGCTGATAGAGAAGAAGCCGAACGGGGATGTGTGCATTTCCATGCGGGAGTGTCATGAGAACCTGAAGCCCGTTGAGATTCCTTTGGCAAGGCGGAAGGATCCGGAAGCTGCGCTAACCCCCGCAGAGTTCAAGCAATGTCGTGCAGTTCTTGGCAGCCTTCAATGGTTGGTGGCGAACTGCAGGTTTGACATGGGTTTTCAGTTGTCGGTTTTGCAAGGTGAACGAAGAGTGGTTGGTACGTTGCTCAGGGCCAACCATGTGCAGTTGTTGCGACGCTTCAAGGAGCACTCCAACTTTGAGCTGCGCTTCAAGCCCATGGACTGCGGAATCATGGTGGTGTCTGATGCAAGTCTGGGGAATGTGACACGTGATGGTGGTACAGATGCTGAGCCAGTGCGTAAGGTCTACAGCCAGGCGGCCCACTTCGTGTTGCTCGCCAGCGCTGATTTGATGGCTGGTCGCAAGGGTGGGTTCATGGTGCTTGATGCTCGGAGCCATCGTCTTCAACGAGTTTGCAGAAGCATCTTCTCAGCAGGCTTGGGGTGGAAGAAGCTATGGATGTTGGACACTACTGCCGTGGTTACCTTGCGTCGGCTGCCCCATGGCTGAGAAGCACGTGGATAAGTACCTGGAGACTGTGCCCCTCACAGTGGTGACAGACGCCAAGGATGTCTACGACAAGGGCTGCAGTGACACGCCTTCGTATGGAGCCCAGAAGTCATTGGCCTTCACAGTTGCCTGGCTTCGTGGAATGTTGCGGAGGGAGCTCACCAAACTTCGTTGGACAAGCACAGAGAACATGTTCGTGGACGCCGGCACCAAGGACATGGAGTTTGAGATCTTCAACCGATTGCTGATGCTTGGAGAACGCCCAGGTTGGCATCATCAGGATGGAGTTGGCATTCACGTTGCCAGGTCTGCAAGGTCCTACAGGCTGCCCAAGCCGCTTGACCCGACCGTCTACTGCATGCGGAGCACCTTTGCCAGGTTTGATGAGCCTTCCGGCCACTCTGAGTGGCGTGAGTTGGAGCGCGATGTGGACACCAAGACCTTGCAGAGCTCAAGGACTGATTGTGGGCGGCCGGCTAGTGCGCTTATCACCTTTTTCCGGAAGCCTGGACCATCACCCTCTCAGCCAACAAAAGAAAGGTCAGCTGTAAAAGCCAGCTTGACTGAGGGATGATGGCATGGAGTGTTCAGCACGCATGAGACATAGCCCGCTGTACCGGCTGCCATTCAGGCCTAAGCCATACGCTACGCTTTTCAGGCAAAAGGATGGCCTAGCGATTTGCCCTGTGCTGCGCACCGGGATTTCACAAAGAACAACGTATCTTAGAAAGCAGCTCATTTGAACAAAAAAACAGCGCATTTTAGAAAATAGCTCACTGCTTGAACCAGCTCATGTTTAAAGGACATGTTTGAAACATTTTGTATTGAACGCAGCGCAAATTTCACCAACAACAGCTATCAGAATTCGTTCCGCTCCATAGGAGTTGTTGGGCTCAGGGTTTAAGCTTAGGTTTAGGGTTTTAGGGGTTTTAGGTTCAATGGTTTCGGGGTAGGGTTTTCAGGGTTTAGCTTTGAACTAGAACATGGGTCCTGCGCAGCAATTCGGGTTTAGGTTGGGGCTTTAGGATTCTTGAAGTTCAGGGTTTTAGGTCTTGGGGCTTAGGGTGGCAGGGTTTAGGCTTCCGGGTCCTTAGAGTTTTGTCTTCGGGTCTTAAGACCGTCCGTAGCCGGGTTTTCAAGTTGGGCGACAGGGACCCAGTCGGAGCACTGGCCCCCGCATGCTTCATTTGCGGCCAACCCGCGAGGGGCATTGGGGCAGATGAGATGACATGGATTGGCAATCCTTATTAGGGAACAATGGTTCAGACACATCTTGGAATTGCAAACCCACGCATTTTTCAGCAGCTCAATTTAGGAGACAGCGATGTTCTCTTCTCTGTTTGGAACTTGGAAGGAAGACAGCGCCAAGAACGACGTGGACGAGGCAGTTGCGAAGGGCGCCTCTCCTGAGCTGCGCCTCGTCAAATTTCAGCAAAGCAAAATCCGGGGGACAGATCTTCTGGCTATACACCACCAGTTTTGAAGGCTATATGGCCGGAAAGCCAGGTTTTCGAGACAGACCCACCTTTTTTTTTGCGGGGTTTTGATTTGCAAGACATCCTTTTAATTCTTCACCGTGCAATTGTAGGGTAGTGCCTTTGCTGCCGGTTTTTGATTTGGTCAGCGAGAAAGTCTGGCTTGAGAAACAAGCGGCAGCCTTCAGAAGATAGAGGCGGCCCACCTTCAAACACTATTATTACACGGCTTTGGGGGAGCGGATCCGAACCTTTAGGATCTCACACACACAAATTATTGTGTTTGCCATTTGATTCGGGCTTTCCAACAGCTCATTTTACAGCCATTGTCTCCTGGTTCCAATGGCCAGCTCTCGGGGAAGTAGCGGTGGGAAGAAGTCCTAAGCAGTACAAGGACCTTACCAATATGATTTACGCAACTGAGGATCATACGCATTAAAACCTGAAGCGAGGTGCCCAATCTGATACGGGTCTGCCACTTTGTCGTAACATGCTTTGGCTTTCGGTTTTAGCCTTTGCAACAAGGCGTGTGGGGTGTGTTAGCGCTATTATCACGTCAATGTGAGGTTCTCCAACTTCATTGAGTTGCCTTGTCTTGAGGGACCCACCGCAGCACTTGGTGCATGCTTAGTTCGCTTAGTTTGTACGATTCAAGCATCAATTCGTGCCAATACATGACGACAGTTTGAGGATGAATTGGGATGGCGCGGGGTGTGATTTGGGCTACCCGAAATGTGAATCTAAAAACGAAAACTTGGTTAAGGCAAAGCTGAGGAGCAGGTAGGTGCTCCCAACCAGAGTCCTTGCTGCGGTGGGCTAGGGTCCCAAGTTTTGTCGTTCCAAGCGCCACGGGCGCCGCTTTGGGTTGGCCGCAATTTGCTTTAACATCCATAAGGCCATGGCATGTTCCTTGGTGAAAGAATAAGCTAAACACTGCAATGCTAGACACAAGGTGGTGAAATCAATCCTTTGGTACTGAACCAATGTTTTGCCCGACCTGTCTTTGGGGGTTGCCAGGATGGCCCTAGCAGAGGAGGAGCCAGAGGAGGATGCTCCAGCGCCACAAAAGGAGCAGCGGCAGCCGGGAGTTGCCATGTCAACCTCGAGGGGCTTGTTGTATGCCCCAATCCTTTTTCACTGGGTCCCCTGTTGCCTACTGGCGCTATTTGTCTCCTTCTTTTTGGGGAAGGCTTCCCCTTCCTTGAAACTCAACTCAACCAGAAAAAGATAGCGTTTTGTTTTTCTCCCCATGACCACTAAGTATCAACAGAAGACAAGGCAAAGTACTCACCATCGTGTGCCTGGCACGGAGCTCGCGTTTGAGATGCTTCGGAGGGATCCCCGAGTCGAAAGGAAGAGGAGAGCACCTGTCTTGCAAGGTGCAATCTACCACCCGAAAATTGGAGAACCCCCCCCGCGTTTTGGGGAGAGGGGAGACCCCCCAAAGGGAACTCCATTCCTATCTCCAAAACAGGCAGACCAGCACGGTTCAAAAAGAGGCGGCCAGTCCTGCGAGCGATCCCTAGGAGGAGGCACCGACCAAGCCAAAGCCTGCGATGGCGTCCACCTGGAAGCTGTTCTCCATGATGAACTGCACTGAGGCCATGGGGAGTTGAGACCATAGGATGGCTTGGATGGCTTCATTCATGGCGGTGATTTGGCTTGATTTGGTCCCTCCTGAAAACATGGGAAGTTGAGGATGGCTTGATTCATGGCGGTGAGTTGGTGTGATTTGGGCCCTGACAACCTCTCAACTCTCAGCTGACATATTTTGTGGCGCTTTTGAGCTGAGGTTAATTGCAGGAACTGTGATTAAATTGTTGTTTGATGACCCTGCAATTTATCAGGGAGGGTCTTTGAGACGGGAATGTGTTTGCGCAAGGGAGCTTTGCACTGGGAGCTCTACGACATCATTTTACATTAGGTTCACTGAATATGGCTAGCAGATTCTGACAATGTCTTTGTTTCGCAGGGCGATTGGACTTGTACGGGAAGAGATCACATTTGACGCCAGAAACTTGTTTGTTTTGGGCCCGGCCACCTCAAACGGCACACCCATCTTTGAAACAACCAAAGTGGATGAGGCTTTTCATGGAAAGCTCCTGTAAGCTTGAAACCGGCTGGCTGGGGGACAGTGACTTGGTATGAGTTGAACCCGACAGGAACGTTCTTTCCATATCCCGTCCTCTTGCTTTCCTTTTCTCATTCTCTTTCTTCTCATTTTCTTGTTCCCGATTCCCATTCTCTTCCCTTTCCACGTATTGGCACTAGGAACTAAACTCTCTTCCTGCTTTCCCCCTGTCTTGGAAAGCAATGGAGTTGTCTCATGTGGAAGCCGTTCCCACCGTTTTGAGAAGGTGTCCCGTTAAGCTTTTCCTAAAAACTAGACCACGGTTGGCCCGAAAGCATCACAGCCCCGTGACCATGCTGCGCAAGTTGCTCTGGGCAAGGTGCTTTGTGCAAACTGGTCTGTGCAAGTTGGTCTGCGCAAGTTGCTCTGCGCAAGTTGCTCTGTGCAAGTTGGTCCGTGCAAGTTGCTCTGTGCAAGTTGCTCCCTGCAAGTTGCTCTGTGCACACTGCTCTGTGCAAGTTGCTCTGTGCAAGTTGCTCTGCGCAAGTTGCTCTGCGCAAGTTGCTTTGTGCAAGCTGCTCTGTGCAAGTTGCTCTGGGCAAGTTGTTCTGTGCAAGTTGCTCTGCGCAAGTTGTTCTGCGCAAGTTGCTCTGTCGAAGTTGCTCTGCGCAATTTGCTCCGTGCAAGCTGCTCTGTGCAAGTTGTTCTGTGCAAGTTGCTCTGCGCAAGTTGCTTTGTGCAAGTTGCTCTGTGCAAGAAGCTCTGTGCAACTGACTCTGTGCAAATGTCTCTGTACAAGTTGCTCTGTGCAAGTTGTTCTGCGCAAGTTGCTCTGCGCAAGTTGCTCTGCGCAAGTTGCTCTGTCAAAGTTGCTCTGCGCAAATTGCTCTGTGCAAGCTGCTCTGTGCAAGTTGCTCTGCGCAAGTTGCTCTGCGCAAGTTGCTCTGGGCAAGGTGCTCTGCGCAAACTGGTCGGTGCAAGTTGGTCTGCGCAAGTTGCTCCGCGCAAGTTGCTCTGTGCAAGTTGGTCCGTGCAAGTTGCTCCGTGCAAGTTGCTCCCTGCAAGTTGCTCTGGGCACGCTGCTCTGTGCAAGTTGCTCTGTGCAAGTTGCTCTGCGCAAGTTGCTTTGTGCAAGCTGCTCTGTGCAAGAAGCTCTGCTCAACTGACTCTGTGCAAATGTGTCTGTACAAGTTGCTCTGAGCAAGTTGTTCTGTGCAAGTTGCTCTGCGCAAGTTGCTCTGTCAAAGTTGCTTTGTGCAAGTTGCTCTGTGCAAGAAGCTCTGTGCAAATGTCTCTGTACAAGTTGCTCTGTGCAAGTTGTTCAGTGCAAGTTGCTCTGCGCAAGTTGCTCTGCGCAAGTTGCTCTGCGCCAGTTGCTCTGTCAAAGTTGCTCTGCGCAAATGGCTCTGTGCAAGCTGCTCTGTGCAAGTTGCCCTGTGCAAGTTGCTCTGCGCAAGTTGCTCTGCGCAAGTTGCTTTGTGCAAGCTGCTCTGTGCAAGTTGTTCTGTGCAAGTTGCTCTGCGCAAGTTGCTCTGTGCAAGTTGCTCTGTGCAAGTTGCTCTGCGCAAGTTGCTCTGCGCAAGTTGCTGTGGGCAAGGTGCTCTGCGCAAACTGGTCGGTGCAAGTTGGTCTGCGCAAGTTGCTCTGCGCAAGTTGCTCTAGGCAAGGCGCTCTGCGCAAACTGGTCTGCGCAAATTCGCAAATTGCTCTGTGCAAGCTGCTCCGTGCCGCTTGCGAAGCACCGCGGACCAGGGGGGAATCGAACTTGCGACCCGCCGGTCCCGGGAGCAGGCGCTCGAACCACGAGACAACTCCCGAGGACCAGTTCGAACAAGAAAAGTCGCAAAAAACCTCGAGTTTTTGCACCTCGACCACGCCGATCCCCGCAGAGGGTCGCGCGAGCACCGCAGGAATCGTAAAAAAACTCTTTTTGTACCTCGACCACGCCGATCCCCGCAGAGGGTCGCGCGAGCGCCGCAGAAATCGGGAAAAAAACAAAACCCCAAAAAAAAGAACAAAAAACCTCCAGTTTTTCGTCGATCCCCGCAGAGGGTCGCGCGGGCCCAAACAAAATCGCAAAAAACCTTGAGTTTTTGCACCTCGGCCACGCCGATCCCCGCAGAGGGTCGCGCGGGCTCAAACAAAATCGCAAAAAACCTCGAGTTTTTGCACCTCGACCACGCCAATCCCCGCAGAGGGTCGATTTTCGTGTCGTGTCGTCGGCACTACCCCGCCGCCCTAAGACGAGATTTTAACTCCTCGCAAGTCAATTGTACTTGACTCCTTGCACTTGCAACTTGCACTTGACTCCTTGCACTTGCAACTTGCACTTGACTCCATGCACTTGCAACTTGCACTTGACTCCATGCACTTGCAACTTGCACTTGGCTCCTTGCACTTGCAACTTGCACTTAACTCCGTGCACTTGCAACTTGCACTTGACTCCATGCACTTGGCTCCTTGCAACTTGCAATGACTCTCATGACTCCTTGCAATGACTCCTTGCAATGATGGCTCCTTGCAATGACTCCTTGCAATGACTCCTTGCAATGATTTTCATGATGATGATTCCTTGCAGTGACACCTTGTAATGGCTCTCATGAGAACAACTCAAGTGAACCCAGCGGAAGAACCCTTCGCCATGCTTTCGGGAACTCCCCAGCCAAAAAGGTCCCCAAAAAACAGATAATAAAGTGCATTCGCTGCACTTTGCCTGCCCTTTTGGACCAACAAGTGAAACAGCGACGGAACGTGTTGACAAGAGCCAAGAAAAAGAATGAGAACCCAGGGCTTCTTTGGTTTGAAAAGCAATAAGAGAAGGAAGTGACAGGCAGGGAGCAACGGAAGAAGGCGCGGAAAGGAAACGGATGGAAATGACATCGGCAAAAATAATCATGATTGATTGGTCGCGCCCTTGCGCCGAGATCAACTCTTCATCTCTGGGATCCTGAAGGAACCAAGGAACCAGCTAGCAATTGTTTGGCACTCACTCCTCGAGGAAAACCAGGTTCATCCAACGCACTTGTGATTTGTTGTCAAAAATTGTGAATACGTTGAGATGGAGTACAGTCAGGTGAGAACGAACAAGGGTTCCACTTGAAATTTCTTGAACCTCAAAGAGCGTTCAGTTCCGTGAAAGACACCATGTTGACCCGGGTGCTGAACGAATAAGCCCATGGTTGATTCTCCCAAGTTGTTCCTTCGCGTTAGGGGCAAAAACTCCCATACTAATCCAGCAGGTTTATCAATGTGGGCTCGACTGGCTGATTTCAATTTTTCATATGATTCCCCCAGCTTTGTTAGATAGGGATTAGCTTTTGGGCTGCAGACGTGAGCCTCACCTATCTGACACCATCAACAACTCTTTGCCGCTGCTTTGCCTTTTCCGACCCCACCCATTCCTTGTTTTCTTTCTTTAATCGTGAAGATTCGCCCTTACATTCCGTGGGGAAAAACATGGACTGCAAGTTGAGTTGAATTCTCCGCAAGGACCCATGCATGTGCGGCCCGGAGGCCTTGGAAACAAATATACATTCTCCTGTTTTGGGGCTTGCTTTGAGGACTTTTGAAAAATCCTTTGGGCCACGAAATAGTCCCAACCCTTGGGTGCTGCCTCGGCATTCTTTTTTTCCATGTTTCAGGCGTGGTTGAGGGTGGGCTTGTGGTTTGAGGATTGGAGTGAGCTGGTGTCTTGTCACCATCTTGGGGTCACCATTTTGGATATTTTGGTTTGATGACTCAGACTCGGCTTCCGAATCACCGGCTGGGGTTTTGGGGGTCGCCATTTTTGACCGAAGGACTCGGCCTCGGTCTTTTTCCACACATCAAGAAAAGGCTTTGGTCTTGTTGGTGGGCACGCTGGGCGCCATCGGCAACGGGGTCTCCCAGCCTTTGCTTTGCATCGTCTTCGGTGACCTCATCGACTCCATGGGCACCAACACCGTGTGCCTAGGAAGAATTGCAGCGGGAAAAAACAGCAACAAACCAGGGCCAAGAAGCTGTGTGTTTTCTGGTTTGTTTGGTTTGTATATGTGTGTGTGTGTTTGTTTGTTTGGTTGGTTGGTTGGTTGTTTGCTTTTTCGTTTGTGTTTGTTTGCTTGTTTGTTTGTTTGTTTGTTTGTTTTTTTTTTTTTTTTGCGTGCTTGCTTGATTGCTTGATTGCTTGATGTCTTGCTTGCTTGCTTGCTTGCTTGCTTGCTTGCTTGCTTGCTTGCTTGCTTGCTTGCTTGCTTGCTTGCTTGCTTGCTTGCTTGCTTGATTGTTTTCTTGTGTGTTGTTTGTTTGTGTTTGTTTGTTTGTTTGTTTGTTTTGTTTTGTTTGTTTTGTTTGTTTGTTTGTTTGTGTTGTTTGTTTTGTTTGTTTGTTTGTTTGTTTGTTTGTTTGTTTGTTTTCTTTGTTTCGTTGTTTCTTTGTTTCGTTGTTTCTTTGTTTCGTTGTTTCTTTGTTTCTTTGTTTCTTTGCTTGCTTGCTTGCTTGCTTGCTTTCTTGCTTGTTTGTTTGTTTGTTTGTTTGGTTTGGCCTAGTGTGGTTTGTTGTGGTGTTGTGTTTTTGTTTTTGTCTGTTGGTTTGGTTTGTTGGTTTGGGTTGTTTGTCTGTTTGCTTGCTTGCTTGCTTGCTTGCTTGCTTGCTTGCTTGCTTGCTTGCTTGTTGTTTCTTTTGTTGATTTGTTGGCTGGTTTGGTTTGGTTTGCATTGGCTTGATTGTTTCCTTGCCATGTTTGTTTTTCATCCCGCAAGGTTCTTGACTTATCCGCATATATAGGTCCTTGCGATCGCGTTTCAAAGCTCTATTTTTGCAGTTTTGCGCTCAGCCCAGCTGTTGCCAGTGGTACACCCGTGCCTGCGCAATGGCAGCCACGGGCGCATCCCACCCAATCTCCCATCCTTACAAGATACAAGAAGAGCTGCAGGATCACCTACGCAGCCTCCACCCAAATGCCAGCCAGATGCCGAGGTTGCTACGCTGTCGTGCGCTACCATTGGCCAGCCTGCTTAGCAGTCTTTTTGTTCTGCACCTTTCTGCAGAATTGACTTGGTCCTCTCTTGGCACTCCCTTTCCAAACTCCTGCTTGCTGCAAACGTGTTCTTCCTGCGAGGGCGTTTCTTCCCGCCAACCGTTGGCAAACACGCTTCTTCTGGCAAACACACTTCTTCCCGCAAACGCGTTTCTTTCCGCGAACGCGCTTCTTCCCGCGGACGTGTTTCTTCGCACAAACGTGTTTCTTTCTGCGAGCGCATTTCTTTCCGGGATTTTTTTTTCCACCCGGGAGCCCGTTTCTTCCCGCAAGCACGTTTTTCTCTCGGGAACGTGCTGCTTCCACGAACCGGTCTCAGGTTTCTTCCCGCGAGCGCGTGTCTTCCCGCGAGCACGTTTCTTTCCGCGAACGCGTTTCTTCACGCGAACGGGATTCTTCCCAGGAACATGTGTCTCCCCGCGAAATCATTCTTGCCGCGAGCTCGCTTCTTTTCGCGAACCGCGAGAGCCTTTATCTTCCCGCGAGCGCGTTTTTGCCAGATCGTTTCATCCCACGTGGCTCACATAGCATGGCCAGAATGTGTGGCACCACCGGCTGCGTTGTGTCAACCAAGTCCGCTCTGCTAGAGCTGCAGCCAAGCAGGGCCTGTGGCGCACAGATCATATAGGGCCTTCGTTTTGAGAGTTTCGCGTTTTCCGCCAAAACACCGCGAAGCTTGATTAGCTGTGATTCTTGCGGGACGCCCAGTTAATTAGATTCTCGCTTGTTTTCGTTGTTGTGTTGTTGGTCGGTTGGATTGGTTTGTTGGTTGGTTGGTTGGTTGCTTGGTTTGGTGTGGTTTGGTTTGGTTTGGTTTGCTCTTTCTTGCTTGCTTGCTTGCTTGCTTGCTTGCTTGCTTGCTCGCTCGCTCGCTCGCTCGCTTTGGTTTGTGTTTGTTTGCTTGTTTGTTTGTTTGCTTGCTTGCTTGTTTGTTTCTTTCTTTGTATTTTTGTTTTTGTTGTTTCTTTCTTTCTTTGTTTCTTTCTTTGATTGATTCATTGGCTGGCTGGCTGGCTGGCTGGCTGGCTGACTGACTGACTGACTGACTGACTGACTGACTGACTGACTGACTGACTGACTGACTCATTCATTCATTCATGCATTCATTCATTCATTCATTCATTCATTCATTCATGCATTCATTCATTCATTCATTTCACTTCATTTCATTTCATTTCCATTTCATTTCATTTCACTTGTTGTTGTGTTGTTTGTTTGCTTTTTTGTTTGCCTTTCTTTTGATTAGGCGGGAACATGTGTGTTGTTGGACTTGGAAGAGAGGCCAAAGGCAGAGCAGGTTCCCATCTGGCAACAAAGCCATTTTATGGCTACTTTCTTACTGGCAAATCAGAAGCTCAGCGACGCAAGTCCTCGACCGGATCTCCTCCCCATATCAGGTATGCCTTAGTCTTCATCTGAATCTGGCGTTCCAAATGAGGAAGGCAAGGTGATTACATAGGGGAAGCCACGAAAAACATGGCAATGGCCCAAATCAAGAGTTTCAACAACCGCACACATTTGGAGCTTCGCCTATACTTTAGAGCCTCCGGCTCAGTCCGCCGACATTGTCCTCTCCCTTTTCTCCTTCTTCCTCTCTCCCTTGTCTCCCTGGTGTGTTCTGTCGTCCTCTCTCCCTCCCTCCGCTCCCCATCCTCCCCATCCCCCCAAGCCACTCTCTGCCCAATCTCCCTCTCTCGTATGTATGTATGTATGTAGGTATGCATGTATATATGTATGTATGTAATGTATGTATGTAAGTATGTATGCATGTATGTATGCATGTATTTATGTATGTATGTATGTAATGTAGGTATGTATGTATGTATGTATGTATGTATGTATGTATGTATGTATGTATGTATGTATGTATGTGCATGTATGTATGTATGTATGTATGTATGTATGTAATGTATGTATGTATGTATGTATGTATGTATGTATGCATGTCATGCATGTATGTATGTATGTATGTATGTATGTATGTATGTATGTATGTATGTATGTATGTATGTATGTATGTATGTATGTATGTATGTATGTATGTATGTATGTATGTATGTATGTATGTATGTATGTATGTAATGTATGTATGTATGTATGTATGTATGTATGTATGTATGTATGTATGTATGTATGTATGTATGTATGTATGTATGTATGTATGTATGTATGTATGTATGTATGTATGTATGTATGTATGTATGTATGTATGTATGTATGTATGTATGTATGTATGTATGTATGTATGTATGTATGTAATGTATGTATGTATGTATGTATGTATGTATGTATGTATGTATGTATGTATGTATGTATGTATGTGTATGTAATGTAATGTATGTATGTATGTATGTATGTATGTATGTATGTATGTATGTATGTATGTATGTATGTATGTATGTATGTATGTATGTATGTATGTATGTATGTATGTATGTATGTATGTATGTATGTATGTATGTATGTATGTATGTATGTATGTATGTATGTATGTATGTATGTATGTAATGTAATGTAATGTATGTAATGTAATGTAATGTAATGTAATGTAATGTATGTATGTATGTATGTATGTATGTATGTATGTATGTATGTATGTATGTATGTATGTATGTATGTATGTATTGTAATGTAATGTAATGTAATGTAATGTATGTATGTATGTATGTATGTATGTATGTATGTATGTATGTATGTATGTAATGTATGTATGTATGTATGTATGTATGTATGTATGTATGTATGTATGTATGTATGTATGTATGTATATGTATGTATGTATGTATGTATGTATGTATGTATGTATGTATGTATGTATGTATGTATGTATGTATGTATGTATGTATGTATGTATGTATGTATGTATGTATGTATGTATGTATGTATGTATGTATGTATGTAATGTATGTAATGTATGTATGTATGTATGTATGTATGTATGTATGTATGTATGTATGTATGTATGTATGTATGTATGTATGTATGTATGTATGTATGTATGTATGTATGTATGTATGTATGTATGTATGTATGTATGTATGTATGTATGTATGTATGTATGTATGTATGTATGTATGTATGTATGTATGTATGTATGTATGTATGTATGTATGTATGTATGTATGTATGTATGTATGTATGTATGTATGTATGTATGTATGTATGTAATGTAATGTAATGTAATGTATGTATGTATGTATGTATGTATGTATGTATGTATGTATGTATGTATGTATGTATGTATGTATGTATGTATGTATGTATGTATGTATGTATGTATGTAATGTATGTATGTATGTATGTATGTATGTATGTAATGTATGTATGTAATGTATGTAATGTATGTATGTAATGTATGTATGTATGTATGTATGTATGTATGTCTGTATGTATGTATGTATGTACATATGTATGTATGTATGTATGTATGTATGCATGTAGGTATGTAATGTAGTGTAGTGTAATGTAAAGTAATGCAATGTAATGTATGTATGTAATGTAATGTAATGTAATGAAACGTAATGTAATGTAATGTAATGTAATGTAATGTAATGTAATGTAAGTAAGTATGTATGTATGCATGTAATGTATGTATGTATGTAGGTCTGTCTGTCTGTATGCATGTCTGTATGTATGTCTGTATGTATGTATGTATGTATCCTTGCACTCCCCTTTGCTCCCCAGTATTTCCCGCAAAACACACGGTTTTTCTAGCGTTTTCGTAAAGAGGATGTCCAAAAACACAGAGTTTTGCCAGATTTTCGGCAAAAGGATGCAGGAAGCCCAAGCCAGCAAAAAAGCCGGCAGGGGGAATCGAGCCTGGGACCCCTGTTTTGCGACACCGGCTCCCCGAAGACTACGTTTAGTGGAACGTCATCAAATTGCCGCGCGGTACGTGGGGGACCCCCCCCCCCCCCCCCCCCCCCCCAAAAACCTACGTAATAGACGTCGGGCGGGGGGGGGGTTAGGGGGGGGGGTTATCCTCTATCCTCTCTTAGGTATCCGACACGCCGAGCAATGTCGGCGGATATGAGCAATCTCCGGCAAAGCAGCTCCCCCATTGGGAAAACAGATCTCCGAAAAGGTGCTCCCCGCTGTTCTGGCTTGCCTTGTTCCGGAATGCCGAATGCCGCATTGTTTCAGAATGCCCTTTCCGTAACGTTCCAGTTTACAATCCTCCTGGTTCTGGCGATCCCCGGAATGCCGACCCCTTTGTTCCAGAATGCGGTTTGCGCCCCTCATTCCGGACTACGGCATCGCCCATTCGGCATGTGGACCCAGCATTGCTCAACCGTTTGTTCCGGCTTGCGCACCCCGCTCCTGTTCAAGATGTAACAGAACTCACTGTCGGGAAAAGAGACGAAATGGTGCGAAAACTGTAGGCTATGAAAAGTCTGAAGCTTGTTTGTGCAGCGACCCGGCAACTGGCCCATTGACCACGGGAATCCAGGATGTTCCTGCCTTGCGGCTTACTCCTGGATGAATGTCTCTAAAACAGCACTTGAGTTTTTTGAATCTGCCCCGATTTTTGTGGTTTTAAAAGGACTCCAAGAGGAAATCCACCGCCATCTTTGGGAGGTCCAACCTTTAAAAAAAACACTTTTGGGCAGCGAGAGTTCCGCGAGTCTCCGGGTTCAGCTTTTCCGTCTGGGCCTTGTCAAGTGTTGACCAGCGCCCTGCGCGCCCTGCGCGCCCTGCGCCATGAGGCCGGTCTTTGGTTCAATGACGGAAGCAGAGGTTCAAGCGATGCTGGACCAGGGCATGACTGGCATGATGGAGGCACCTTGCTGCAAACCTTGCTGCAGATTGGTGCATTTGGGGCAAGCTAGACACCATTCGTGTCCGCAGTCCAAACAAAGTACCTTTTATGGTACGTACCAGAACAAAAGTGGTGTACCAAACAAAAGTGCCAAGAGTACAGCAGGTGGCAACAAGTACCATCAAAGCCTCAGCCTTACAAACCAAACTCGTCACATGTTTGACGAGACCCACCGTGACGGCAGTTCCATCGAGCAAGGCCTGAGTTGGTTTCTTGGTTCATTTAAGATTTTAGGGATATAACTGGCACACAAGCAAGACTCGCCCATATGGGTGTGTTGTTTGAGGCGATCCTTTGTGTCGTTGCTATACATCCTGAAGAGCTTCGCATGTTCTCAGACAAGCCCATGCCATCACATCCATGAAATCAACGATGTATGTCACAGGCTTAGTCGTTCTACTTTTTCCTGGTATGAAGCACTGATTCAGGAGTTTATCCGGTCACAGCTCGGTCCACTGATTGGATCCAAGCTATGTGCCGGTTGCCCCCAATCTCGCAATACTCCTTCTGTAAGGAGACAGGTTTTTGGTGTGTATGGCTACTCCCAAAAGATACCCTATGCTCATGTGCCCCCACCAGTGGACCATTCAACTTTCCTTGGAGTGATGCTTGCATTGGTACGAAACATGATCCACAGTGGCGCTGCAATGTCATGCCCTTCCATTTGCTTCTGGTGTCTCACATTTCGAGCACCTCCGTCAAGGTACTGAACTTGTGGAAATCGCGTTGTGATGCAAATACAGCAAGCTTCTTCGTGGCTAGCTTCACTGCGGATCCCCCTTCTAGCGGACAAAATAGCAACGGCTCAATCATTCGGCAGCCATCTCAGCCGGTCCTCGGAATTTTGCACCGAGCCTTACCTTTCAGCCTGGAAGAGGGTGCCAAGGGTCGACCTCCAAGACATTCTGAGGAGTTCCTGGACGTTAGTCTTTTTTGGATGCACCAACCTGTGCAGGGTCCAAAGTGTGGCAAAACAAGAGGCCCCCAGAAAGTGTAGATCCCCGGCCCCAAGTTGTTGTTTTTTCTTCTTTTCTTCTCTATTTGTTTTAGGGGGGGAAGTTTTTTCAACAGAAGAAACGATGAAGCGATTTGTGAGCATTGGATTCGCATGTGGGGCAAAAACAAGTCTTGCCGGAACATGAAGCAAGCCCATGCGTCTGCTTCCGATTCCGATTCGAGGAGATGCAGCGCTTGTGCGTCACCATGTGCTTGGTGGGCGTCGGCTGCACCTTCGCGGCGACCTTGCAGGGGGCGTGCTTCAAGGTCTTCAGCGAGATGCAGACCAGGAAGTTCAGGTGACGGGAGGGTTAGCTTTCGAGCGCGGGAAGTCGAAAAAAAGGTTGGGCAGCATAATTATCCACAGAAGATGGGAAGATGTATGATATGCCCTGCCTGACAGAGGGGTCCCTTTCAATCGAAAATTGTCTTCCAGGACCCTTCCACTGTCAGGTTCCATGTTGATTGGTGGAAGGGTGTATACTATAATACGTATGTTATAAAGGGAAAGGCCGGCACGCATCAGGTTTAGTTTGGGGCCATTCTCTCTCTCTGTTTATTATTATTTATAAACCTTATAGAGTGGCAGCCCTAATCGGCGGCCTGGCGAGTTGGAATCTCAGTGCTTTTGGATCGGCTGGATCATGCTCATGCTGGATGGTACTTCTGCAAAGCATCTCCAGCCAATCCCAATAGCAATGCTAGCTTTTGCCACAGTGCCATCATCGAGCATCCTGCTTGGCTGAATCCCATCAAACAGAATCGGCATACGCATGATTTTGACCAAAGGGGCGGGGGGGGGGGGGGGCTGATTGGCTCAGTTTCTCGGTTGCAGTTCGTGGTGAAATTCTAACATTGCAACTGATGGGAATCTCGTGCAAAAGGATCACAAAAGTTCCCATGTGCTGAGAGCTTGGCCGTCAACAGGATGGTGTACTTCGACATCGTGCTCCATCAGGATGTGAGCTGGTTCGACCTCAAGGAGCAAACAGCATGTCTCGAGTGATGTGCTTTTCGAGTAGCATCTATGGGCCAACAGTTGAGAATATGTGTAAGCAGAAGATGTCGGATGAAGGGAAGCGCTGCACCTCTGGTCATATGGTGAATATGAGCTATTCAGTGACCAGGCTTCCGAGAAGAGCTCAAACATCCAAGATACCCAGACTACGATGCCTACCTACCTGATATACCTGCCTGACGGCCTGACAGAAACCGAGGCAGGTACAGGGACAGAGAGAAAGAAGAAAGGGCAGAAAGACCGATGGACAGGCAGACAGACAGACGGACAGACAGCCAAACAGACAGCCAGCCGGACAGATGGACGAGCAGGGCAAGGCAGGCATGTCTGGCTGGCAGGCAGGCATGTCTGTCTGGCTGGCAGGCAGGCAGACGGACAGAGCCAAAGCAGAGATACAGACATGCAGATAGATTGGTTGTTGGGCAGCAACCGCTGGTTGGGGTTGTTAGGTAGTTGCTCGAATGCTCTATTCACTGTAGCCTGACATGGACACCACTGTTTTTACTTGCCGGGCGCAGCTTTACTTGTTGCTACTCAGCCATCGACGGCCCAAGTTGGTTTGGTTTCGCCAACGGTTTTTGCGGTGATTGTTTGCCGCAGTGAAAACTTTTGGCTTAAGAATGCCTTGGAACTGCGTGTGTCACTGTCGAGACCATAAATCTCCCCAAGAGAAAATCCATGCCCTTTTCTTGACTCCATTCGGCCTCTTTCGGCACTAGTCTCTATTGGGATTAGCTTTGGTTGCTTTTGGGGCCTCTTAACGACTTTAGGATAGTTGCTTGGTGTCCTGTCATGCCTGACATTTAGGTTTGTCTCAGGATTTTTGTTTGCTTTCTTTTTCCCAACCCAACGGCTGCCAACTCAAGGAACGTCCGAAATCTGTTTCGGGTCCAGGAAGTGGCGGCGTTGCCCGCAGAGATCAACGACGACCTGGACAAGATCGGAGATGCCTTTGGGGACAAGTTCGGCAACGGGGCGCGGTTTTCCGTGCACACCGCGCCAAGCATCGACCGAACAAAATTCGGGGGGAAAGCATGGATTCGAAATTCTCATGGAATTCCACGCTTGGACATGTGGGCCAGGGCTGGACATGTGGCACCCAGCCCTGGACATGTGTAGCACCAACGTGGTCTTGGGAGTTTTCCGGTGCCAAGTTTGAAGGGCAAATGGCTTCCAATCCGGCTTTTTGAAGGGCCCTCCACTAGCTCAGTTTGGGGCGGGGGGAACAAGGACACAGAGCACGGGAATTCATACACTTGGAAGCAACATGGCTAACCTGCAAGGGTCCACTCAGTTCGAAACGCAGTGATCTCGTTTTCGCCGTCCTCCAATATGTTGTGTGTTTTCCCGGTTGGAGACGGGTTCAAGCTAGATGTGGTTGGCAAGATCATATCCATTCAATTTGGCTGAGACCCTCCGATGGGACAAACAAAGATCACCGATTGGGCATGATTGGGCAACAAGCGGAGTCAGTTTGGGCGGATTGGTTGCTTGCGTTTGCCAAATCAGTTGTGTGATCTTACATTCGTTCCAAAGTTGCTGGTGTGTTTTGATTTAGTAGTGGTTTCGCAAATGTAATCAGGTAAACCCCGAATTTCTCACTCTCACTCTAGACGTGCTGTTGGCTTCCCACCACCCGAAAAAGGTGATTTCTAGACATAGGGGACCTCACTGAGTTTCAACCACAAAAGGGCGTCTTAAAATACACCCAAAATGGGTGGGTGCTTGTTTGGTTTCGGGATCCTCCGATCCTCCGAGAAAAGACAGATCCAGAACTTCAAATGTTCCAAAATGGGGACGAAGCCAAATGTTTCCATGTCCTTCTCAGCCGCGAACATGTCCGACAGATCCAAGCCGGGTCGGCGTTCATTGCGGGCTTCGCCTGCGCCTTTGGCATGGGGTGGCTGGTGGCGCTGGTGATGTGCGCCATTCTTCCCTTCATGGGAGCGCCTTGGACAAACTCATTGCCTCAATAATTGATACCGATTTGGAACGGGACACAGAAAGAATCGACAGGTCACTTTAACCCTGGAGCTGACAACAGCCGGAGATTGGTCACGCCCGGTTCTTCATCCTTGAGTTGTCAACCCCTCGGGGCTTACAAACCAATGTGTTTGCCTTCAACGTTTGACCTTCACCGAAAACATGTTGTTTCACGTTTATTTTAGCTTGTGTTCCCGATGTGTTCAATTGTTTCAGTTTCTTATAGGATTCAAACAATTCATATTGTTCAATGTTGCGTGCAACCTTGTTGTAAATCTGCCATTCATGCTACTTGAGTTATCAGCGGTTCTCAATGAGTTCTAATCACACTAACACTCCAAAGCAGACCGCGAACCAACTGCAAAACGCCACTCGACAAATACCCCAGTCCAGGCAACATGAGCAACGGTCAAGGTTCGCGAGTATGTGCTGTAGAGGGGCTGATAGGAGCACACTCGCCAAATGTCCATTAGAACCTTTGCCAGCGTTGGGCACAATTATTAGCCATTCACATGACGCAGGGTTGGAAATCGAAGAGCCAATTCCGAGTGTAAGAAACTGCTGCAACGGGTGTGAAGACGGGCAAAAGAAATGCTTCGCATATCCTCTGCCTTCCAGTGCCATTGTGCATTCCTGCCAAGCCCATCCAGGGCGTTTTGAATATCAAGAGTCAGGCCACTGGTGAATTTCCCACTTGCCGACAACGAAGGACTTTGAACATTGTAGAGCAACTGTCGACTGTGAAAGGTGAAGTTCTCGGGCATTGGCTGAAAGGCAATCCCTCCCCATCCTTTGGGATAGAACATGGGTGTGTCTGTTGGTTTAAGGGTGCCCTTTTGGGTTTGGTTCAAAGGCAAGCCAGCTGGACATTTGGGGGTTGAACCCAAAAAAGGGAGCCACCCATATTCCCCTTTACACCTACTCAATCGGGATGTTTTTTGGAAGATCGGATTGCCCGACGCTCCATTTGGGTGTGTCTCTTTGTGGTATGAGCGAGGATTGGAAGGGAACCAGAATACAGAGGCAAAATAAAGCTAAAGGGAAATCAAGTGAAGCCAAATAAAGCTAGCTGTTGGGTTCTCCTTTTGAGACAAGCCTGTATTCAAAATGTGACCAGACCTTAAGACAGGGGTTCCTATAAAGCTAACCATGGCCGTGACCCAGGGACATGCGACTGACGGGGATCTAGATCCGATTTGAGCAGGGTATCCTGACGCTCACCTAGCGTTTCCCATTTGCGTGGTCAAGGAAAATCATTTGCTTAAGGTTCATGTTGTTTTGCGGAAAAAAAGAAACCTGGAGTGGTCACAGGCCCAGTATAGATTTGTGCCCCTCGGCTACGTTGACCATGTGTGACCACTCGGGCCCCTTGGCTGCCACCCTATTCCAGTCTTCCTCTCCTCCCAGCCGTCCCACAAGTTAGTCGCTTTCAGGGGATCTGAAGAACAAAGAGAAGAAAGGTTTCAGGAAGCGTTTTGTTTGTTTGTTAATATCCGGAGAGTAGGATTGAGGGGTTGTATTCGGGCTGGAGGGTTTGCCAAAGCTTGGCCCCATTGAAGTAGTAGGGGCAAAACGCGCAGTCTTTGAATGATGGGGGTTTTATTCATGTGGCAGCTGACGCAATCAGATGTTTCTCAGATATCTGAGTTGCTTGACTGCAGGTGGGTGCGGCAATCATGGGCAAGGCCGTGCAGGACGGGTGATTGTGTATTCCAAGTGCGTAGCTCAGTTCTGATGGCGTGCACAAATGGTTTGTGTAGGTATGAGGTATGGGTACAATGCGTGGGTTTCGAGCTTTCGAGCGCTCCACCTCCATTTTCTCCTTTCTGTTCCCATTTTCTCCTTTCTCTCTTCTCTCTCTTCTCTCTCTTCTCTCTCTTCTCTCTCTTCTCTCTCTTCTCTCTCTTCTCTCTCTTCTCTCTCTTCTCTCTCTTCTCTCTCTTCTCTCTCTTCTCTCTCTTCTCTCTCTTCTCTTTCTTCTCTCTCTTGTCTCTCTTCTCTCTTTTCTTTGTTTCTCTCTCTTCTCTCTCTCTTCTCTCTCTCTTCTCTTTCTCTTCTCTCTCTTCTCTCTCTTGTCTCTTTTATCTCTTCTCTTTCTTCTCTCTCTTGTCTCTCTTCTCTCTTTTCTTTGTTTCTCTCTCTTCTCTCTCGTCTCTCTTCCTCTTTCTCTTCTCTCTCTTCTCTCTCTTCTCCCTCTTCTCTCTCTTCTCTCTCTTCTCTCTCTTCTCTCTCTTCTCTCTCTTCTCTCTTCTCTCTTTTCTTTGTTTCTCTCTCTTCTCTCTCGTCTCTCTTCCTCTCTCTCTTCTCTCTCTTCTCTCTCTTCTCTCTCTTCTCTCTCTTCTCTCTCTCTTCTCTTTCTCTTCTCTCTCTTCTCTCTCTTGTTTTTTCTCTCTTCTCTTTCTTCTCTCTCTTGTCTCTCTTCTCTTTTTTCTTTGTTTCTCTCTCTTCTCTCTCGTCTCTCTTCCTCTTTCTCTTCTTTCTCTTCTCTCTCTTCTCTCTCTTCTCCCTCTTCTCTCTCTTCTCTCTCTTCTTTCTCTTCTCTCTCTTCTCTCTCTTCTCTCTTCTCTCTTTTCTTTGTTTCTCTCTCTTCTCTCTCGTCTCTCTTCCTCTCTCTCTTCTCTCTCTTCTCTCTGTTCTCTCTGTTCTCTCTCTTCTCTCTTTTCTTTGTTTCTCTCTCTTCTCTCTCTCTTCTCTCTGTTCTCTTGTTTCTTTCTCTTCTCTCTTCTCCCTCGTCTTTATTGTATCTCCCTTGTCTGTTGGATATAGCGGTTTGCATATTGGAACTGTTGTTGTTGTTTGTTGTTGGTGTTGTTGTTTGTCGTTCTTGTAGTTCTTTGTTGTTGGTGTTGCTGTTTGTAGTTCTTGTTATTGCGGTTTACTGTATATAGATATAACATATATATATATACGTAGTACATGAATATGTAATTATTTATATAGCGTATTGACAACACAAATATGGTGAGAATGGTTTAGTTGTTTTTTTAGTGAACATACATTAACAATAGACACGATTGATATCAATGTGTGGTATTGATAATGTTTAATGTGTATAATTCATATATATATATATATAATATATAAAAACATTAGACAATATTGTACGCAATATGGCATATATATATATACACATAATGTTTTATGTTATTTGATATTGTTTGACACTATATTTTAAATTGCTATGTTATGTATAGTTCTTTATGTATTAGTATCTTATCGGCATCTTTATAGCCCAACAGTCTTTCTCTGTGTTTTTCCTTCTGTTGCTTTATGTATGTCTTTCTTTCTTTCTTTCTTTCTTTCTTTCTTTATTTATTCCTTGATGTCTTTCTTTTTCTTATTATTTATTTCTTTCTTTTTGCTTTTTTTCTTTATGTCTTTCTTTGTTTTTGTTGTTTTTTCTTTATGCATGTCTTTCTTTGTTGGTGTATTTCGTTCTTTCATTCTTTCCTTGTTTCTTTCTCTCTCTCTCTCTCTCTTTGTCTCTCTCTCTCTCTCTCTTTTCATTGTGTCTATCTGTCTATCTATCTGTCTATCTATCTATCTATCTAATCTGTCTATGATCGTATCTTATCTTATGTTATCTAATCTATCTATCTAACTATCTATCTATGCAACTAACTATCTATTCTATCTATCTATCTGGCTGTCTGTCTATCTAATCTATCTATCTATCTACCTATTTATCTATCTATCTAATCTATCTATTTATGTATCTATCTATCTATCTATCTATCTGTCTTTCTATCTTATCTTATCTTATCTTAGCTTATCTTATCTTGTCTTATATGATCTTATCTTATCTTATCGTATCCAATCTACCTGTGTATTTATGTATCTATCTAATCTATCTATTTCTCTATCTATCCAATCTATCTAATCTATATAATCTATCTAATCTATCTATTTATCTATCTATCCATCCATCTATCTATCTATCTTATCTTTGATTTTCTTATCTTGTCTAATTTATCTGTCTATCTGTCTATTTAGTCTATCTATCTATCTATCTACCTACCTACCTATCTATCTATCTATCTATCTATCTAGTCTATCTACCTACCTACCTATTTATCTATCCATTTATCTATCTACCCTTCACTCTAATCTAATCTAATCTAATCTAAATCTAATCTAATCCATCTATCTATCTATCTATCTATCTATCTATCTATCTATCTATCTATCTATCTATCTATGTGTCTGTCTATCTATCTATCTATCTATCTATCTATCTATCTATCTATCTATCTATCTATCTATCTATCTAATCTATCTATCTATCTATCTATCTATCTATCTATCTATCTATCTATCTATCTATTAATCTATCTATCTATCTCTCATCTCTCTGTCTCTGCGTCTCTCTGTCTGTCTGTCTCTCTGTCTCTCTGTCTCTGTGTCTCTCTGTCTCTCTGTCTATCAATCTGTACCTGACCTTGCGAAAGTGCTCTGCCTGCCACGAAATGCGCACCTCAGGGTGCCAAAATCATGCGCCTGCCGCGGAATCGACGCGCAGCAGTGCGATTTGCAAACCACGCGACTCAGCTTCCCAAAATGCCGCGCTTGTCACGAGTTCTAAAACGATTAAGAGCAAAATGCTGCGCCTGCCACCAAATTTACACCTCAGGTTGCCAAAGTGCTGCGCCTGCCACGCGATTTGCAGGTCCGATCCTAGGCCATTGGGGAACTTCCCCAGGCCGCGGCGAGACCGTGCGCTGAACAGAGGTAGCCTTCACGATCTCGCCAGCCGCCTCCACACCAAACATAACACTTACCACAAGGACTGTGGCGTTGCATCAAGAGTTAAGTGTCTTTTTCTGTTCGGAAACTAATACACGATGTGTTTTTTTCTTTTCTTTTTTTTTAAATCTTCGCCTTCAATGCAAACCAGTGTATAAGTCACAGCGTCAGGCTGTGAGTGGTATTACCCGGAAGGCAGTACAAATCAAGAAAAAGTGATCCAAGTGCAGGTTCGTGCCTTTGGCAGAATGAGTGTTGCGTTGACATACGACACTCGAGCTGGAAATTTACATGCTCGGACTCCTCAGCCAATCAGTGCTTCCCATATCCGAATATGCAATCCCTATGTACGTTTTTGCCCGCATCCTCATCCAGGCCTGTTTTATTTGGGACAACATGTTTAAGCTGGATGGTAGTTTGCCAGTCATAAATTGCCATGAACAATGCTATTTAGCTGCGCTGTATATTTCATGGTTGCGCGGAGGCCATTTGGATACCGCGGCGAAACTAGGGAGCATGTTTAAAGTTAACGGGTGCTTTTTTGAGCGAAGCGACGGCTTGCGCAACTCGTGTTTTCAATATGAAGCCACTCTAAAGTCTCCGCGAGCAACTGCCTCGACTTGAACTCAGTGGTTTCCCTTGTCCAATCATAGGCATCCTTTTGTTAGTTCGGCTAGAAATACATGAGTTCCACTGGTTTAGATGGTTTCATGCCCCATTGCCGGGGAACCCATCTATGTCCTCACTTCCTGAGTTCCTGCACTTTAGTCACTTTTTGGGAAGACCATTTTAGGGGGCGGTAAATATCTAAAGTTTGGTCGCTTTTCTTGACCAATCCACTCGGGAAGTGAGGGTCACCCATGCAAACGCTTGCGCCAGGAGATTCAGCTGGAGTCCCAGAGTTGGTATGCCAAGGCCTCTGCTGTGGTGGAGGCGGGGGAATCCGCTAAGCCTAGCAAGCGCCGCGTGAGCCCTCCGAAATCCGAACGCTCGCGCGCTGCGTCCCATGACTTTTTTTGGGTAGGACAGGATGAACAGTGAGAAACTCCCAAAAACAGCCTTTGTTTGGTGGCTTTAAGGGGTTATGACTGCTAAGTATGATGGTTGCGCGGGACGTGGCACCTCAAGCAAATGGAAGATTGTAAAACAGCCACAAGCGATCCCCAATGCTTTCAGCTTCATTCTGGCAGTTTCCTGGCTGGTGAACATTGTGAAGTAGTTTCTCGCAATACAGGGCTGCCTCAATTTCCTTTTGGACCTTGAACAGTGAAATGGGTATAAGACCACCCCCAAAGGAGTACCCTCCAAAGACACATACCCATATCCATCAGGAATGCCTCTACGCCATGCGCACGGTGGTTGCCTTCGGAGGGGAACGCAGGGAGTTGAAG